GAAGGGCTTTCTGATTCCTAGTGGAGGCCGAGCTTCGGTGTTGAGGCCACTATGATGCTCGGCCATGGTGTGCCGAGCTCTGAAGTCGGGGGCTTAACTTGGTTTGGGCTAAGGAAGGGCTTTCTGATGCCGGTGGGAGGTCGAGCTTCGGTGTTGAGGCCATTTTGATGCTCAGCCATGGTGTGTCGAGCTCCAGAGTTGAGGGCTTAGCTTGGTCGGGTGTCGAGGAAGGGCTTTCTGATGCCGGTGGAGGCCGAGCTTCGGTGTTGAGGCCATTGTGATGCTCAGCCATGGTGTGTCGAGCTCTGGAGTCGGGGGCTTAGCATGGTCGGGTGTCAAGGAAGGGCTTTTTGATGCCAATGGAGGCCGAGCTTCGGTGTTGAGGCCATTGTGATGCTCAACCATGGTGTGTCGAGCTCCGAAGTCGGGGGCTTATCTCGGCTAGGTGTCGAGGAAGGGCTTTCTGATGTCGACGTTGAGGCCACTGTGATGCTCGGCCATGGTGTGCTGAGCTCTAAAGTCAGGGGCTTAGCTCGACCGGGTGTCGAGGAAGGGGCGACTAAGGCAGGAGGCCACCGAGGAGGCGGTAGATCAGTACAAAGCCTCGGTGGAGCTCCGACAAGAAATGGACCAGTATGCCTCGACTTGCTTTGAAGTTAGATTCAACGTCTTCCGCAGGAGGGTTTTGCGCCACTACCCAAAGTTGAGCAAGATTGTGCAAACTTGGGAGGCGTATGACTTAGACGCTCCACTTGCTTCGGACAATCTCGTTGATGGGGAGGTCGATGGGGATGAGGATGGTGAGGAGGGTGACAAGGCCGTTGATTTCCCTGCCGAGGATTGAATGGCTCACAGGATTCTTTGTTTTTTCTTGTTCTTGTAATTGCTTGGTATGTCGAGCTTTAACTTACTGTGTTGATTGCTTAATGGATCTTTTTTGTTTTGAACTTGTGTGCATACATTCATCATTTTTTTTTGTTCCTCGACCTTACCTTGGCCAAGGTCTGGGGTTGATTGAGATCTTTAGTCTCCGGCTAGTGGGGCCGGAGTATATTTCAAGCTTTCATCTTTGGGATGCTTAGTTTCTGGTCTTGGGAGCTTTTGGGGCCCTTTGAGGGTTGGTCGTTGCTCGGCTAGCTCTGATCGACTATTAGTCAATGAGTGAGTGGAGTTTAATGACCGTCCTCAGGGCAGGGGCGTTTTTTTCCACCTTAGGCTCAAGCCGTAGACAACCGAGTCAAGTTGGTTGGCAATACGCTGTCGAGCTATGCGTCATGGGCTCAGGCCGTTCAAAGATCAGTTGAGTCGGTGAGGTGTGCTGAGTTACGGTGTAGCACGACGGTGTAGCGTGGCTATGTAGTGCGGCTGTGTAGCATAGATTACGCGATGTGTGTGCAGTGGTACATGTGTACGATTGTCGGGCTCGCGCGGAGCGGGCCGTGGAGGCGGACCTCCTTGGTGTGTCTTGCTTCTCATGCTCAGACCGCACTCCCCTTCTTTCCGGTCGACGTGTTTTGGGGTCCTCGGGATAATGCGTCGGGGCGTGAGGGGGGATGGCCCAATTGGGCGGTGCTGCGGATCCTAGTGTCTGCATCATCTTGAAGATCTTATCGACTTTCTTTTGCATTGCTCAGAACTATACAGGATCAACCGCGACTGGAGGTTGTGCAATTTCTTGATGCGGAGGGCTGCGATGCCAAGATTCCCGAGATGAGGATCAGCGTGTTGATCGTTTGGACTAGTTCTTGGGCATCTTGATTGATTTTTTGATTGTGCGGTGAGGAATGAAAGATTTTCGGGAAAGGATTTTTGTGCATTTCTCACAGATGGCACCAATCTGATGCTGCTCAATCCGAGGTGGTGCACGAACTGAGGAGAGCAACCAGATAGTCCTTGCCAACAGGGCGATGCTGAGCTACAAGGACAAGGCCACGTTGCAAGACCTATGATCAAGAAAGGAGAAGTTAGAGGTCCAAGGAGTTATCCTCGAGTTGTCACTCTGACGCTCAAGTCAGTATGAGGTGGTAGATGGTCGGGTCGAGCTATAAGGGTGCTAGTCCAAGCTATGTAGCAGTACGGGTGTCAGAAGTTTGGGTCCCTTACCTCGAAAATGAAATACCTTCTTATAGCCATGGATCCATGTCCTGGTCGGATTGGGCTCCCGGGGTTGTTGAGATGAGGTAAGTCGCCGAGGTATTTGGGATAAAGTCCTAATCCCGATGGAGTTGTCTTCCTTACTATTCTTTATTCATAGTTACACTTATCTGTGCCACGAGTAGTTGACGTGACTGAGAGGATAAGATAAGGGGACATAGTAATAATATAACCTGGCCTAGGTCGCAAAATGAATGCGTGCTGCGAAACTAGTCGAGCTATATCAATGTAGCTGGAATGATCGAGCGATGACTAGACGGCCACGTATCTCTCTGGACCAGTTCAACCATGACTGGAACATGCCCTTGATCTCAACCATTGGCACTGGCCAGAGTTACTGCTCGCGGCAAAAGTGGTGGTTTATATTTTTTTGCATTGGCCGGATTCCTTTTTTCTTATGTTCTTCTGGGTTTTGATTGCATGCTGAATTCGTTATGTTATATTGTTATTGCGACATTTTTTTTGTTGTATTTTCTCTACTAGACAGGTATGTTGGTATTTGGAGTAGATTCGTGGAAGGTGGTTTGTGGTTTTTCTCCTCGTCCTACAGTTGATGGAAACTGATAATGGACACGGTTTTCTATCAAGAAGGTAGGCCCAGAGACTTGGGAGGGCGAGTATGGGTAGGTTGCCAATCATCACAAAAGAGCAGGAAAAAATAAAAAGAACAAGAAAAATGGATTCATTGTCCACTAACTATTTTCGAATTTTCATTTATTATATACTATTTATTTATTTCTCTTATATATCTTCTTCTCTCCAATGGATTATCTTAGTTTGAATAACTATTTTTTTCATTTATCTCTTTTTTCGATTTTCACTTATCATCCGAATGAGGTGACCAGTTATATGCTTTTAATATGGGTCTATGTGAAATTATGAATAAAATACAATCATTTGTAAGATTTTTGGTAAGATTATAAGATGGGGCTTTGTTCATATGTCAGTTTACATCGGAAATGGGGCCTTGTTATTTTATAATAAATTTTTTTTTCGGTTTTAACATTCTTTTGAGATGCATTAAATTAACGGGATTAGACAATTTTTGAGCCTTAATATTAATAAAAATAATATTTTTAATAAAATTTTTAAAATAAATTAACTTTTTATAAATAATATTAAATAAGGGAAAAATACTATTCATCACATTCATCCACCGCCTCCGGCAACTCCGCCCACCTCTGTCTCCGCTCACCTCTGGCAACGTTGCCGAAGGCGGAAGCGGAGATGAGGGTGGGCGAAGGCGTTGGACATTATAAATGAAAGGCGTGGGTGGTGTAATCACTCCGGGTTCATTTGATATTTGTTGCACTTTTTGAACCAAATATATGCGGCGGAGATATCATCTCCGATTTCATTGCCGTGAAGTGTAATCGTAATTTGACGTCACAAGACCTCTGGTCGGAATTGACACCACCTCCGATCTTCTGGGCTTCGACTTCACTAACAAAGATTCGTCTTCTTCTTCGACCCATCAATCGAGCAAAGGTGAGAAACTAAATCATATTCCAAACAGTTAGACAACTTTGATTGGTTTTGAGAGTTTTTAATAGCAAAACGCGTTTGCTCTCGGAATGCAGGAACCAGTGATAAGACTAAGAAAAGGAGCACAGTTGGAGTAGATCAAAGCAAGGGTAAAAAGAAAACGGCCAGAAAAAATATTTACAGGGGCATCAGACAGAGGGCATGGGGGAAGTGGGCTGCTGAGATACGTGACCCGCGGAAAGGGGTTCGAGTCTGGCTTGGAACTTACAACACCGCCGAAGAGGCTGCCATGGCTTACGTCGTGGCTGCAAAGAGAATCCGAGGCGACAAAGCCAAGTTGAATTTCGTTGAACAAACACCATTAGTTCCAACACCACCGCCACCCATTTCGTTGAACAAACACCATTGATCCAGAACCAGCGGAGTCAGTGGGGAGTGTAGAATCGGAAGCATTTGATCTTTGGTTATTAGACGACGTTCCCTTCACACCTCATTGTCACATGGTTTACTGAAGAAAAGAGAGTTTCTGTCGCCATGCGTCAATCGTGGGATGCCACTCGTCTTAAATTTTGCTACAGTTTCCGATAGATAGAGGTAGGCGGAGACGGCAAAGGCAGACGAAGGACTACCAGAGGTTATCGGAGGCGGCGGCAGGTAGCGGCAATGATGAGAAAGAAGATAAGCAGTGTTTTGCATAATCCCTAAATTAATTCACATCGAAAATGGTACATGGATCAATTGCCGAAGGAAGTGGGTGACATTTTGCCTCTTCTTTTTTTTTTTAAATGTATCGCATGTCTTTTTTTTTTTTAATTATTGTAGATTGGAATTCAGAATTCAGAATTCAGCAAGTGGGTGCTGTGTGTATTTTTCCATTTTTTTTTTTTCAGTTCTTGACATCTCTGTTTCTTTCTCTCTTGCAAGTCATCTTAATTTCTGTCCTCTTGTCTCCCTTCTTTTTCTCTCCCATTAACGTTCGTATTTTTACACGTGCCACATATGCTATTCATATATGGTGAGACGGGGGTTGGATTGGGTGTTCTCAGGTGGTGGAGTTGGGTTGAAGGTTGGGTTTAGGGGTGATAATGGCTAGGTCAGGCCGAGTTTAGCACCAATTATAAAGTGTTTTAACTTAGGCTTAGGCCCGGCCCGACCTGCACACTAGGTTTAAATTGCAAGTATAAATCTTGGGGTGATCATTATTGGACCGGCCGAGAAATCAGGTCCAGCCTGGGCCTGCATCAAGCCTGAAAATTCTGGGTTGAAATTTGGGCCCATCACTTGAAGTCCGCATTGGGCCCGACCCACAATATTCAATATAATGTAAAATATATATTTCCAAATACATAATATATATAAGATCTAAGAAGAGGAGAGAGAATCTGACCATCTAGGAAGAAGCTGACATCATAGCTGAGAGTGAAGAGCTTCGCATAATCTGGGTTGAGTTTTGGGTGAACAGTCATTGTAGAGCAAAGCTAGCCATTGAAGTTGTAATAGCCAATTCTCTCGAGGTCGTTAGAGGCAGTCACACGTACATGGTAAGGCAAGTCATCCTCAAACATGGCATGAAGCGTTGAAATAGGCTATGCCGGTGTAGGGGAATGGATTGTTCAGGTGCTGGTGAGAAATTGCCGGTGATTTGAATAGTTGGGTAGTTGGGTCGGCTATCTTGGGTAGAGGGTGGTGGTGCTTGCTGGAACATACACGTGTCACCTAAACTGTACAAATTTAAAATGACAAATTATGATGGTGAGTTTAGGTCGCCGGGGTTATTATTTTTTTTCCTAAGGCTGCGTTTGGATGGGGTGTAAAATCCGGTTCAGTGTATTTTTATATTTCGGTCCAATTTTGCAGCCGTTTGGATGGGGGTGTAAAAATATACTGAAAATCGGTGTGAAAGTGATTTTTGATTTTGTTTTACCTCGATTATTGATGTATTTTATACATCAATTTTTTTGATTTAAAAGTCCATTGAAGTAAACAAGGTGTAAAGCCAATGGTTCTTCGTCTTCATCTCCTCTGATCGTCTCTCTCACCGTCGAGTACTTTCGCAAGCCCTCTCACCGCCTTTCTGCTAGTTGGGCTAGGTGAACTTCCTTGCTCATGTACTCCACACCTCTGTGTTCGAACTCGATCAGAGGAGGGTCTCAAGGAGCAAATGTTGCGTGGTTGTGCAAGGGACGAGGGCTCATCTCAATGCCCCGGCAAGCTGGAATGGTTGTTGGCGACTAGGAGATGGGCTGTAAACCCTACTACCAACGACCCATAAGTGAACCTTGTGAATTTAACCTGTAGCAAGGCTTCTGTCTCCTTGAGACTGGGGTGGAGGCTTAGCAAAGCTGGCGATGGCTTGAAGGGCATGGTCTGGTTGAGCGTGCAGTCAGTCGATGCTTCCACAAAATTGACACCATGGTCGTTGAGCAGAATGAGAGGGTCACCCTTGTCTGCTCCCAATCTGCCAGCCCACTCTCTGTACTCTGCTAGGGGCTTGTCGATGCCTTGCTCTATGGTCGCATTTGGAGGAGTTGGTGGTCGGTACGCATAGATTACAGCTATGTGGGTGTTGTAGGTAACCTTGTCAAAGACGCTCAGAGGAATATGCAGTGTTTGAAGGAGGAATATCTCCTTCGTAGTTTGGCTTTACAATCCTAGAGCTTGGGTTTGATAACACATGCTTGAGTCACCTACATGTGTTTGGGTTTGATAACATGTACTTGTTACAGTGGAAGACGCTTGTTACAATGGAATAATCTTCCAATATTGAAGATGTTCAACGGAAGATGCATAGATTACAAATAAACCAAAAGTAGTTACATGTGTGGAGGATACAAAGCTTTGTGTATTAATTGAGTTTGACGAATTGGGTTAGACCTTAGATGCGTTTATATACTAACACTCTGACACCACTAACCACACGGTTTGTGACGAATTTGTCACAGGAAGTAAGGGAGAAAGCTCCAGGAAAACAACAACAACAGAAATATAATTAATTATTGTTGCTTCATCTCTTAGTTACTATAGTGTTGGCAATCTTATTTGTCATTGATGATGCATGATCTGGCCGGTCTTAGTTGTCGATGATCTTGCCTCTGAACTGAGTAACAGGGGCCTGAAACGGGAGGAGAAGAGAAGCTTCGGGGAGAACCCGACGTAAGGGCTCCGAAGCTCAAGTCAGAATCCTTCAAAGGCAAGAATAACCAGATAGCGCGAGAGTTAGCATACCTCGTCCCTGGGGGGTAGAAGCCTTTTATAACCACCTCGCGCACTCACTTCCAGGCCTCCGTCAGGTCGGGCATGATTACTTCTGAACTCCT